GAGGCCTCGGCCCGGCCCTTTCGTTGCCGCCTTCGCCTTCGCCTTCCGCGCGAGGCCTGCCCTGGGCCTAAGCCCGGCGGGTTTGCGGAAACCGCCCTAGGCGAGACGGAGCCCACTCTTCCTAGGCAGGAGGACTGCAAGGACCCGACGGAGGAGAGCGGGAGAAAGCCCAGCCTAGCGCTGCTAAACCGGGGCCTGTGTGAGAGAAAAGCCTTCCTGAGGAGAAAGCGCACGGGAGCAAACGCAACGCGCTGTACCTGACGAGTATTTCAGGCCCGTGCTTAATTGGGGTCCATAAAGGTAGAGCAGCATGTTTGTAGTAATGTTCAAATACCGTAGTTGCACAGACCAGGTTAGTGGTATCATTAAAAAAGAAAAAGATGGCCCGAGCGAGAAGAATAGAAAAGAAATGAAATACACATACGTAATTTAAGTCTCTGCCCTTGCGGAAAATTTCACATTCAGCTGGAAACTAAATATAACTCAGCGTGTCGTCTCATATGTAACCAAAGCAAATACTGAGTATTCATTACATATGTAAATGAGATAACAGCTATACCTAAAGAACATTTCTGATCTGCCCCAAAAATTGAAACCTATTTGCAATTACAAGGTTATGTCCCTGTGGTGTTATAACTTTTCTTTCCGGTTCAGTGCTCAGAGAATTGGGCTAGTATTTAGCAAAAACATGAAAGAATATTTTAATACTAAACAGTCTAATCGTGGTTAGAGCCTGTATTACAGATGTAAAGAGGGGCTAGACTTAGCAGGAAGCTTAAAATAGGTGTACATGACCTGAGTGAGATGGTATGTTGTAATCGGCGGCAGTGTGTAAATCTGTTCAGTTTACAGATTGAGACTGACCAGAATTGCAATCCGTGTGTGTGTGTGTGTCCCAATGTACCCGGGATTGAACTCAGGAGCTTTTGCTTGCAAGGCAGGCGCGGTGCCACAACTACATCCCCAGCCATTGCTACTTATTTAAATATGATCTTGGACAAATTTCGTGTTTCCACTTCCTCCTTGTAAGAGTGCTTGTAACACCTAATGAATATAAAATGCTTGGCTTAGTGCTCTTTCCTCAATAGTACACAGTAAAGTATTTTACTGCTCTTGTTATGAAGATTTAGATAAGCAGAGGAGGCCCAAAGAAGAGGGAATACTTAAAAGACAGAAAATTCATGCAGTATGTATTTTCTTTTCAGAAAAGACTGCATATCAGAAGTTGATTAAATCGAGAGGGGCAGAGTGTGAAAATTAGCATTCAAAGAAGTAAGTCTCGGGGAGATACAATTTTTTAAAAGAGTGCATTGATATGATTAAAGGACTATTTGGAGAGGGCAGGAGAAGTATAGAAGGATGCCTTAGGGGAGAAGTAAAGGGCCAGGAGAGGTGGAAAAGAGATTGTTGACTGAGAGCTAGAGGAGAGGCAATTGTGTCCTTTTGGCTGAAGTTAGTGGCAGTAAAAGAGGAAAGGATATATCCTGGAATAGTTTGGGAAATAGAACTTCTAAGACTTGTGGTATATTTGGATGTGAGGGATGGGGAAAATGCTGACAGTAACTCTTAAGTGTCTAGGAGACTTAAGTGGATGGGCTGGGTATATGATACTCAATAAAAGTGTAAGAGGAAGCAAGCTGGAGAAATTCATAGAGTTTCATTTGTGTTGTATCATCGTTTGTTTTGTTTTTTTTGGTCCTGGGGATTGATGTCATATTTGAAATGCATCCAAAAATATACAGTTCCTAGATTGGAGATGTCTTTACAGTTGAAAATACAAGTCCAAAGTATTAAAATAGGAAAGTTCTGAAAGGGATTGATCAAGACTTGTATTCAATCCTGTGAGATTTATGCTACTAAATATGGTGGGACTCTAATGGAACATTTAAAACTTTGGAGACTTGGAGAAAATGTTATCAACTGGGAAAGGCACAAGAGAAGCTTCTGAGTGATGATAATATTCTAAGAGAAATAATACCAGTGGCCATAGGGATATATGTGCAAAACTTTCTTGAACTATATACACTTTATGATGTGTTCGCTTTAAATAGTAAAGGTTTATATATGCCTATAGTTATATGATTGCATAGAGGTCCTTCTTAGAAAAAGTAGGCTTTTAAATTTCTGCTGATGAATAAATGAAAAAATAAATTATATCCCTGGTTTCAAGATTGATCTGTATAGAGATATTAAAAAGGAAGAGCAAGGGCTGGGCATCGTGATGCACTCCTGTAATCCCAGCACTTGGGAGGCTGAGGCAGGAGAATTGCTGTGAGTTTGAGACTAGCCTGGGCTACATAGTTCCAGGTCAGTCTCGACTACATAGTGAGACCCTGTCTCAAAAACCACAAAAAAAAAAAAAAAAAAAAAAAAAGAAGGAAGAGCAAGGGCCAGGGATGTAGCTCAGTGGCCCAGCACCTTACTGGCAATCACAAGGTCCCGAGTTCAATTCCTAGTTCCAAAAATAAATAAAAAGGAAGAGTATTCTTTTTATCCTTTCAGAGATTAATTGGTTCAGTGGAAGAATTTGATTTGGTCAAAAGTAATAAGAGCTAAATTTAAAATCTACAAGTTACAGCGAGGCATGTTGGCACATACCTGTAATCTCAGCACTTAGGAGGCTGAGGCAGAAGGACTGCCACAACTTGGAGGCTAGCCCCAGCTACCTAGTGAGTTCAGGGTCAGCCTGCACTACAAAGTGAGACTGTCTCAAAAAAAGAAAAAATAAAATAAAATTTACAGGTTATAGCTGGGTGTAGTTATACATAACTGTAAATCCCTAGTATTGCAACAGCAACAACAAAACAGACATGAAATGCAATGAGACAGTGTTGAGACAATTGCAACCTCCACACTGGGCTGCTGTGAAATTTACCAGATTAGTCTAAAATCCTTAATTTCAGTCTCCTGCAAATTGTCAGGACATGAACAAAAGGTATAGAAATATTCTTCCAGAGCATAATACACGTGTCCTGTAGTCCAGTTGGCAATGGAGTCCTTGATCCCAAATGAAACCTTCTTATCCTGGTTTTTACCATCCTCCTTTTTGTCAGCATTCTGATTTTCTGAGCTCTTACCAGAATCTCTAATCCAGCCCATTTTACAGAATTCTAGGACTGCTTCTCCAGCCAACATCTTCAAAAAACAGACATGAGGAGAAATGTTGAGCAACCTCAACATTGGGCTGCTATGAAATTTACCAGATCCAGGCTTCTGAAACAAATGGTCAGAACCACAGTTAGTGTCACAGCAATAATCCCACTCCTGCTACCAAAGTTTTAGTCATATTCCTCAATTTTGGGACACAAGACTCAATACCCATAATTTAAAGGAAAGGGAGATCATTTCAGCTCATATTTATAGCCTATATTTGACTGATTCCAAGGCAAGGTGGCATGGCAGAGGGCATAGTGGAGGTAATGTTCCTTGTGTCATGGTAGCCAGGAAGCAGAGCGCAAAGGAAGGAACATTTGGGAAGAAGATACACCCTACCAGGTCATGCTCCTGGTGACTCACCTCTTCCAGGCTCTACCTCCAAGTATGCATTTAGCTGAAGCACTTCCTTGATTCGATCACCTTTCAAAAGCCCTGCCTATGAGTGTGGAGAGCAAACATTTAGTGCAATATTCATTATATAATTTATATCCTTTTCCAATAACAGCTGTCACTGAAGCTGTCACTGAGCCTGAGGCCGTGACAGAGGCCATGACTGAACAAGACTGATAAGTGGGGAGAGCCCATGAAGAATGGGTCATGGGTGTGTGTGTGTGTGTGTGTGTGTGAGTGAGCTGCCCCCTGATATAAGCACCTGTAAGACCTCGTGTGTGAAGTAATGTAATGTAATAGATAAGCCCGAATCAGTGCCACACAGACATAAGAACAGTATAAAAGAGAGAGTGCAGAAAACCAGCTCATCTCACTTGGTGACCAGGAGACTTGGGGGCCACTGACTGCATATGTGATCTTGTACGAGGTCACAGCCAAGACTCTGACCCACGACATTGGGAGGCAAGGACACTGGCCACAGCCCACACTGACCTGCAAATCACCTTACAGGAGAAGAAAGTCACACTCCTCGGATCTGTGCGGGTACAGGAAGTGGCAACTGACAGGTGGTAGTTAGTAGACGTGTGCATTGTGTGATTAAAGGCATTCAGAAAGGCATTTGGCGTCTGCCCCTTATTACTACCTTTGCTCCCTGATCCCGACAGTGAGCACATGAGACTTTGGGGCTATCCAGATATCAACCATAATGTGGCAACTGAGGAAACTCTGGCACTCTCTATGGCTGATGAAAAGTCCAAGGAAGAAGTCAGTGTGGGAACAATGGTCATATTACTGTAATTTAAAAGTGATGGGAAAGAGGCTGGGGATTTAGCTCAGTGGTTCCAGAGACTGATTCGCAAGTGCAAGGACCCAAGTTCTATCCCCAGTACAAAAAAAAAAAAGTGATGGGGCAGGATAGTTCTATGGTGCTGTTTAAGATTAGGGGGACATTCTACTTAGTAAACTAATGAAAGCCTGATATAAATGATGGGATTTGTCAGTGAGAACAACCAGATTCTAATTTCACATGCAGCAGTTGATGAAATGGATGCCCTTGCACAGTTGGGAATGGAGGGTGAAGATGCAATTGATGCACTGAAGCAGCAGACAAGAGATGTCTACTAAATAGGGAAACTGCTACTTTACTCCAGAACTATTCTTACAGACCAGGAATATTTTCTCAATTAGAGAAACTATTTTAGTTTCACGACTTCCTGATTACTATAGTAGTCTCTTTTCTTTTTCTTTCTTTCTTTCTTTCTTTTCTTTTGTACGGGGGATTGAACTCTGGTCATTGCACTTGCAAGGCAGGTGGTGGAACCACTGAGCTAAATCCCCGGTCCATCTCTATTCTTTTTTATCCCCATTTCCATTCCTTTATTGTACAGAAAGTAACTGGTGTATGTGTACAAACACATTGCTTTGTAACTAATTGACAAGGATATGTTTTGGTTGACATATAATAGAGATGGAATGAGGGAAAATACTAGTTCTGTGAAAATATCTCCTTTGTGCATTAGTGGTATGCTCATTCAGCTCTTGTCTTTATATTTCAATAAGTTATTTTGCTTTCACTGCTTTAACAACAATGAAACAATAAAAAAATGCTTGGATACCTGTTTGGCTGGAGAATTTTAATATTTTTCATTCATCATGGTAAAGCCAAGGACAATTTTATAATTTTTTGTACATAGCTATTATATGTAGAGAATCTATCTTTAGTTGTGGGTAAATTACTCTAAAACAATCACAGATGGTTTTCTCTTTAGGTAAGACATCTTGATTTTTAAAGTAAACTTCTTGCTTTAAAAGTTTTGTAATGAAAATGACAACCACAACTGTCTGATTTTATATATGTATGTATGTATGTGTGTATGTATTTATTTTGGGACAGGGTCTCACTGTGTAATTCAGTTTCGTTGGCCTTGAACTCACTAGCCCAGTCTGGACTTGAAGATGTTTAGTCCTTGCGGGGGGGCAGTATTTGAGGTTAAACCTGGGGCACTCAGCCACTGAGCTATATATCCCAGACTTTTAAAATATTTTATGGTGATACAGAATCTCACTGAATTGCCCAGACTGACTCATAACTTGTGATCCTCCTGCTTCAGCCTCCTAAGTAGCTGGGATTACAAGCTTGTGTCATGCCTAGATTCCCTCCCTCTTTTTTTTTTTAAGGTGAAGCAATAGATGAAAACAAATTATAAAGCAACGAGTACACAATCATTCAAAATTTTTACTCCTTTTCCAATCATTTACTCCCACTTTGATAACATTTATATGCTTGTTATTTGCCTTTACAATACATCAAAAGTATTCAAATTGTTTTCCCCAGCAAGAACTTGTTTCTTTTCATTTACATACTATTGAAGAAATAACATAATTACAAAATAAGTATAATAAGCATTAAAAATTTTAAGCACCCAACTGACTTTTTTTTTTTTTGGTACCAGGGATTGAACTCAGGGCCTTGTGCTTGCAAGGCAGGCTGCAGAACCACTGAGCTAAATCCCCAGCCCTATTTTTTTTTGGTTTTTTGAGCCACAGTCTCACTATGTAGTTCAGACTACTCTGGAACTTACTGTGTAGCCCAGGCTGGTCTCGAACTTGCAGTGATCTTGCTGCCTCAGCCTCCCAAGTGCTGGGATTACAGGTGTGCGCCACCACGCCCAGCCACCCAACTAACACTTGATAAACAGTTCAAAATATCCAGAGCAAATCCAAGA